CCCCCCAAATGTAGCATCTTTCATGAGCTTTGGATGTATTCCAAGTGATTTTGTCTTCTGCCCCCATTGTGTGTAGTAAATCCTAGGACTTTGTCCACATTGGACAATTCAAATGTGTTAGTAGTCATTTAACTGATTTCTGAATTTCATATACCTGTAGATTCAAAACAGAAAATAGTGAACCAGCAACAGAAAACAATTGAGGAGTCAGGATCAGGTGGCCATTAAAAAAATTTTGTTGTAGTTAAGTAAATCTACAATATGAATAGTCTAAAAAGATGTCATTCCATGAAGTAAAGGCCATTCTAATAGCAAGAAGTTAAGAGCTATTTCCCAAAAAAAATTGAATTAATATAACCTAGTGAAAAAGCATACTTTCACAGTCCTTATTTTATTTAACTTTGTTTTACTTTATTGAAGCACTAATCAACTTTTAGGAAATACTCATCATGGACCCTCTTCTACTTATAACCCCATCATACTTAAAAGATAACAAGAAAGAGAAGATTCAGTCTGTTTTAAAATAGTTCTGTCAAATGAGCTGCTGTGGTGTCTTTGCTCATCCAATTTCTAATATCCTTTGTATTTTTAAATGAAATTTCAAGTGTTAAATTGAATCCTGGTTTATATCATTATGCCCAGGAATGGAAGGAAAAAGAAACTTATCACCATATTCTATAAAATAACTTATGTGAAACTTGAAACAGTGTTAGATTCCGCTTTATCTTAGCTCTTTTAGTCTTTGTAATGGTTTCTCCCAAATGCAATCTTCCATTTAGTCATCCTCTTGATGGAGCTGGAGAGCTGGGGGGCTCCTGGAGGTTCTTGTCTTCAGTGTAGAAAAGAATGCTTGTGAGAGTCAGAATAGGTGAGTTAGAAGTGAGGCTTTTATTACAAGTGATGGTACACACTTGAAAAAGAGTGTAGGAAAAAAAAATAATAATAATAATAAAGGAGTGCAGGCAGATTCTAGAGAGAGTTGTGCCTTGCGTGTTGAAGCTGCTGGTACACATCTATATATACTTGATTTGAGGGGCAGAGGCTCACAAATGGGATTCTGAACAGGTTCTCAGCAGTTTTGTCTAGCAAGACCACGTGTCCATAACATTCCTCTTGGTCAAGCAACATGGGAGAGTTTTACAATAATGTTGCCCAGACAGGGAGTGAGATAAAGGGTCTAATGATTAGGATTTGGGTTACCTTGCTTTGGAATGTGCAAAACCATGTTTCGAGAGTAACTGGTAGTGTGTGGAGGTGGGGCAAAGAAGAGGCCTGCAAACTCTGTGCTAACTCCCTGTTCAGCCTCTCTCAAGGCACCCAGATCAGTGTCAGGTACTGTGCATGCAGTGAGGAATAAGAAAGTACTCAGAATTTGAAGTCACACATTTCCTGTGCGAACAAGGCTGTACTGATACCCACCGCCAAGCGAGAGAGGCATTTCAGCGTCTGTGAAGGCTTGAGAGTTGTGAGAACTGTCTTAGAAAGCTGATTGAATTCCTAGGGCACCAATAAAAGTAAGTAGAGATTGCAGACTCTGTGGTTAGAGCACCATCTCTTTCCTTACATGGGGGCGGGGGAGGGGGTGGCTATCCCACTTTTAAGACTCCATTTCCAGAAGTGTAAAATGTGTGTAGTCCATATTTCAATTGAGATGTTCTGGGAAAGAACAAATAAATGGGTGAAGCCTCAAGGACAGTGCCTAGCATGTCACGGTAGCTCAAGAAATAAGTGGCATTAGATCTCAAGGCACAGAGAATAGCATGTGTGTCTTCCCTTTGTTCTTGTTTCCCTAGTACAATGATTTTAACATAGTGAGTGTTTAAAGAATAACAACTGGCCACTTTGGTGGTGATAGGTTAGCATTGGTATATTTTTATTTCTATCTAACTATTTGACTTTTGCTTTGTCTAGAGTACCTTGCTTCCATTATAATGGTTCAATTATCACCAAAGCAGAAGGATAAAATTTCAGTCTTATTATATGTCTTTCAGCATGAACACAAACCTTGCAATTTGACTCATCTGAAACCTGGTTGAAACATCATGGCAGCAGGGCGAGGTGGGCGATCAAAAGAGCCCCACTACATGTGACCTGCGGGTGAACTATGAGTATTAACTCAAGGCTGGCAGTTGCTGCCTCTGTGACGTCTCCCAAATTTCCTAAATTTTACTCGTGTCAAAAATAAAACCTTTTACCTAACAACTGGATAGTCAGATGTCAGCCCACAATGCAAATAGGCAGGAGCCTACATTTATTCATGCACATGACCATCTGCTATATGAAAGCATCTTTCTCCCCTGAGGACCAGAGCTCAGCCACTGGCAGCACTGGTCTTTAAGGACCTTGGTCCATGTACTTTATGTTGTACTTGCAGCTTGCTGAAGGCTGTGTCACCAAAGTTAACTCAATGGTATGAACCCTTAATGGTAAAGCATTTAATATTATGATATGGAATTAAAAGAGATACATTTTCATGCAATATATTTTAGGTAAAGGTATAAAAATGAGAGAGGCTGCAGTGGTAGAATGCACAACCCTAAGTGTGTGTGTGAGTGTGTGTGTGTATATACAATTCCTTATAAATTGTACTGTAGGGCCTCCCTGGTGGCACGAGGGGTTAAGCACCACACTATGAAGCAATATGAGCCTCTGCAATACGAGTTCCATCCCTGGCCAGCCAGGGAGCAACCCACATGGCGCAGCAGACCTCTCCTGTCTTGCCCGCTGCTCCCCTCAGCAGTGTATTTCAGTCAGTCTGCCTGTTCTGTTCCCCACTCTGTCTCTGGTTAGTCCTCTCACCCCCTGCATCTCTGGCCTGTACCCCAGCTCTTGTATGCATAAATAAATAAATCTTAAAAAAAATTATACTGTAGATGACCACACACATGAAAATTAATGTAGCGAAATCTCTGATCATCTTGAACTCTTACAAAGAAGGTCTCCTTTTCTTAAAAAAAGATTTATTTTTATTTATTTATGCACACAAGATCTAGGGTGCAGGCCAGAGATGTGGGGGGTGAGAGAATTCACCAAAGACAGAGTAGGGAGCAGAACAGGCAGATCGACTAAAATACACTGCTGAGAGGAGCAGCGGGCAAGATAGCAGAGGTCTGCTGCATCATGTGAATCAGCTCTCTGGCTGGGGATTGAACTCAGGCCATGGCAGTAATAGTGCTGAGCTAACCCCTGAGCCACAAGGGAGGTCCAGAATTTCCCCTTTCTTTAACAGACAAAATTGTATGCTGTCCTCACACTCTCCCACATTCCTCCCTCAGCCATTCCTGTGACAGCTAGCAAGTGCCTGACACCTCTTTGTTGGTTTGTCCATGGTTTTATGTTTGTTTGGATAATTGTCCAAATTATATTCCAAATTCTAAAATATCATCTTTATTGTATTTGTTCACCCAAAATGTATTTCTGGGCTGAAAATATGTAATACTTGTTGATAGTATTCCTATGGATAAAAGTCAGAAGTTTCAAAAAAAATTAAACATTTCCAAAAAAAATCCTTAGAGACACAAGCAAGTGAACTTCTGAAAGTAAGATTGGTAATCAGGTAGAATTTTAAAGGTGACACTATTAGTTGCCTAGAAAAGTAAGTCTCTCAATTTGCTTGTCTACAATCTTTCTGTGACATAATGAAGAAAAAGTAAAGGGTTAAAGAAAATATGAAAGACTGAAGCCATCAGTATCACAGCTATGACAATTTTTAGAGGAGACATGCAGAGGTGTGTCTGTCCCAGGAGAGACTTGGGGAGTCTGTGAATAGTACTGGCCTACAAGGACCTCCAGGAACGGACTCTGAGCTCTTTAATAAGTATTCCAGGGAGTCAGTCTTTCCTGGAAAAAGCAAATTAGTGTGAGAAGCCAGTACTGTGCAATTTCAGTTTTAAAAATAGCCATGTACTGTTAAGGCTGCTGTGTGCATGAGAGAAGCCCTTGTTAATATCTGCCTCTGCTTCCACATTAAAACAGAGGAGCTACACTGCAATTCTTGCCTGGCAAATACTGCAAAGGGCAGAAGGTTGGTATCACTTGGAGTCAGTTTTTGGTCCTTCCAATGACAAAGTTTGGGGGTATTATGTCTGCTTTTAGCATATCAGCATGGTGCTAGAGGACAGTCAAGTGATGGCTCTGCCTTTCACGTAGGACCTGAGCCGAGCCTCCCTGCCTATTTTGGCTCTTCATTTGCCTAATTACCCTGCGAGGCTGGCAGGGACATTCTCTGCAGCCGTGCCTGTGCTGACTGCAGAGACCCTACCTGGCACTCTGAAGTTGTTGCATCAGCATTTTAGGGAGAAATGAATGAAAAATCAATCAGGAGGACTGCAGTGGTAGCCTGCACAACTCTAACCTAGTTTGTCCATAATTTTCAACTCTTCACCATAGAACCAAGCAGTGTTTAAGATGGTAAGTAAATCTGTGACAACTATGCTGCTTCTACTTAATCAGGCATTTTTTTGTCCTCTTTTCTATTTTAGAACAAGCAAATTTAACCTCCTTAGGAAACCACCTAAAATGAATGACGATGTCAAGTTTCATACAAATATTCTTTATTTGCCTTGGTCTAAGATTCAGTTCCGAGTTAGACTGAGTGATAAATATTCAAACATAAATATATCAAAGTATTGTTATATTAACTTATACTTCAAATTCAGAGGTTTAAAAAAATTTAGGTCTATTTTGCATTCTTGCCACATCACTTTGTAACTTGCTGTAACTCTCTACATCAAAACTACACTGTTTTCAATTTCTAGATTTACCATTCTGCAAAGATAGAGTTAAATACTATGTGAACTCTGGCTACATAAGGGAAACTGTAATTGTTCAAAGCTGCAGTCTTCAGCTCTGAAAGACAGCTACAGTAACTTTCTGAACAGATTGGGTTAAATATTCTTACAGACCCATTCTATGATGATAAGGCAGTAATAAGTTGTGCAGTGCAACACTCTAAAAGCTTCCAAATCTTACAAGCCTCTTTCTATGTGATGCTCTTACAGTGAAGAAGATCCTTTCGCTTTAAAGATGAAGAGTTTACTTCTTCTGGTGCTGATTTCAATCTGCTGGGCTGATCATCATTCAGACAACTATACTCTAGATCATGACAGAGTTATTCACATCCAAGGTAAGAAAACCCAGGTGCTCTTATGAAAGTCAAATTAATTTCAAGTTACTTACAGTTGAGATGCTTGTTTAGTGTGTCTTGATTTTAGTTCTGATGCATTGCCTTTTTTTTCCCTTTCTGCTAATTGGTGAATAAGCTCCATGGCTTTTGAATGCTATTGCATTACAGTAGAGTGAAGTATTGGGGACAATTAAAGTGAAATGACTTAAGGATGTCCAATTGCAGGGATTTGTGATTCAAGGTTTTTTAGTACAGCTACTATCTTGTAAGTAGACTGGGGGGCATAAAGTTTATTTACGTGCAAGGAAAAGGGGGAAGAAGTAAGAAGTAAAACTTACTCTGTAAGGTTATTCTGTCAGAGTGATCATTAATAATAATGAGAAAATGAAAGGCAGACAAGTTTCAAAAAAAGTAACTCACCCTACTATAATCTCCTTCCGTAAAGCTTTAGTTCCCACAGACTAAGACATTGTCCCTGTATCTTTCTGTTCAGTTCAGCTGTGTCCTAAACCTGAGAGCTGTAGCAAGATTTGAGGCTGCAGCACACTGCAGCTATTTCCTGTCCCAGCTTCAGATGAGGGACATCCTGCATTAAGAAAGCTAAGAGACTTATGCAGTAAGAAAAAAATAGTCTAAAGGAGCTGCAATTTCTCTTTGCCCTTGGATGCTGAATAATTAAAATGAGAACTGCAGAATTTAACAGTTTGAACATATGATAACATTAATATAGATGAACTCAGTTTGGGAATGAGAGGCATAAGAAGTTTATGAAGAGACATAAAACACCAACTTATATCTTCAAGGTCAAAAGTGTAGTCTCAGAAAACTGCATCCACTATTGAAAAGTGTGACTTGTGAAGGTCAAGTGATACTGTAAGTCTGACTAGAAGTATTTTCCTGTACGCATTAGGACCACACACACAGAATTCTGAAATTGACAATGACTATTTGAGACATCTTTTTCTGTTCTCTTTGTTTCTAACAGCTGTATGTTTTTCACTGCTTGATCATGAATAAGAATTATATAATCATACATTTTAATATGCAAGCTGCTGACTCAGCAGTTTCCTTTAATGTATATAGCAGAATCAAAGCTGGTTCCCAAAGACTATTGAGATATTATACATAGAGATCCGATAAGGAATAACATCTACTCACAGAATTCAATTCAGCCCAAATAGTAATACCTAGCCATTATTAACAACATTTTTAAATCCAATGTGAAACAAATTTTAGCTATGATTTTAAGTTATTATTAGATAAATAACTGGTATGTAATTAAATATGTACAAACATAATTAAATATGTACAAATCACTAAATTACACCTAGCATAAGAAAATATTATTTTAAAAGTGGACTGAAATTTTACAGATTTTTCCTGGGGAACCTATAAGTAAGATTCAAGTTTTCTAGCATGTAAAACTTATGCTCCTGATTTTCCATTATCAATACCCTTTGAAATTAATGCAAAGGAATTTCTGAGGCAAAGTAGGAGAGTTATCCAAATTATTTGCATACACTATTCATTTTTAATGCCTTGATAATCCATCTCATTTTAATTATAAATTCACATTCTTAGAAAGTTACTAAGAACTTTCAAGTAATAAAACTACCAGACTCCATTTTGCTTATGGAAGTTAATGTTGTAATGGGATCATGATGATTTATGTACAAGGTCAGCAATTTTTTATTCATATGTTAAAATTGCTCCAAGTACCTGATTCTTGTTACATTATATCAAATAATTTTTCCTTTAACTTTATAACATTCAGATTGAACATTTTATAGCTTCAGTCCATCAGAGAAACCACTGTCAAGTGGCTTACCATAATTTCAGTTGTTTTTTTACAAAGCAAAAATAAGTCATATGGCATAGTAGACAATCATTAACAAGGATAACCTTCATTAATTGAAATACTGGATTCTTTCCTTATATTAATTTTTTAATTATTTTTTAAACATGGTCCAGAGGGAATCTAATAGAACTAAAACTCTCATATTTTTTTTAAATTTGCAGTCAGATGATGAAATTAGTAATTTACCTCTTGAATTCTTATATTGTACAGATAAGCAGGATAATCTCCTCTCAGTGACAGAAAATTGTTGAAAATTCATATGGCTGCAAAACACTTTCCAATTTTTATTAAATTTCCATTTTTGTTCTCTTAGTTCTCCAGGCCTCAGTAAATCAAGGGTATAGTGCAAATCATTCTCTATTGCTCCTTGTCTACCTTAATAAAGGAGCTTAACACTTTGAAAATATGTTCTTGAGTCTCACGCACGCGTTGCTTAATTATTTTTCTGAAGGTTCCTCTTAATTTTGGTGTAGAAGTTTCTATGGATACAAAATCAAAACAATTTAATCTGTCTTAAAAAATTAGATGACCAGAAAAAAAAAAAAAAAAGGCAAGTGTGGAGCTCTGTGCAAAGTATTTCTTGTGAAGAACATTTTTTCTAGTGGTGAAAAAGGAAATTCTCCCACATTACCAAGAAGAAAGAGACTTTGATAATGTTGCACATGTACTAATTCATTCCACTTCATTTTTTAAAAAATTCATTTGATGACATGAGAAAGCAAATTTCACTTGTCCACTGAGTTTGCTAAAATGTGCAGTCAAGTGTTAGCTAATATATTATGTACTGCCTCAGTGTTTAAGGGATAGTAATTTCCTCAAATGCTCTCCACCAGAAGAGATAGCTGCTGTTAATTCCATCTCCATTAACACTCTCAATTACTGGATTGTTTCCCTCATTTCTTGATGTGCCTAGTCAAACAACTTCTAAATCCTTTGAAACTTCAGGCCATTAGGAAGAATTTTATCTGGAGAACCAAATCAAACAAAAGTACAAATTTTAAAACATTTGGTTCAGTTCCAAAAACTCTTTGTGTAGATTTTCAATTGCCAGTACATTTAGAGATGATTAATATAATTTTTTCATGGTACAACTTTTAAAAAATATTTGCATAGACATGAGAAAACTTTTTTTTTTAAGATTTATTTATTTATGCATACAAGAGCTGGCATGCACCAGAGATGCAGGGGTGAGAGGATTCACCAGAGACTGAGTGAGGAACAGAACAGGCAGATCCGCTGAAATAAAGTGCTGAGTGGAGCAGCAGGCGAGACAGGAGAGGTCTGCTGTGCCATGTGGGTCACCTCCCTGGCCAGGGATTGAACTCGTGCTGCAATGGCTGTGGATAGCTTCATAGTGATGCATCTTAAACCCTTGCGCCACCAGGGTGGCCCCAAGGTTATAATTAATACAAAACTTGCTTAACTTTATCCAAGTTGGCAAGCCTCTGGTGATGGATCGTACACAGATCTTCTGATGACTCGTTCAAGGTTTTCCCCTAACGTGACTTCTGATTTTATATGATAGACAATTACTTTCTTCTAGTTAGTTACCTATTCTGTAAGACTATACTAATCACTGATTATTCCACAGGCCTTTGTGAGAATTAAATGAGATAATACATGGAAAAGAGCCTGACACTTAGCTCCCAGGAGAAGATAATAGTTACTGTCATTTTAACCACAATGAAAAACAGATATATTAATAGAAAAGGAAGCACAACTATTGGTGGGAATAGCTCATCTTTTTCAAACTCTTGTTAATAGAACTATCTCGTTGTCTTAGTTCTAATGAGGTGAATATTTTCTATGTCACCTTCTTACTAGGTGAACAGAGAAGCTACTTTACCTTTTTTTTTTTAAAGACTAGTGAGGAAATCTCAGAAATGAAAACTGTTCCCTCCTATTAAATAAGTAAAATTTATTGTTACCTTTCTCAAAAGATAAAACGATTAGTTGTTTTTGTTTGTGTTTTTTTTCCCCCAAAGAAAGAATTGTCAGAAGTTCATCTCTAGAAGTGGGTACTCTCCTACCAATGTGGTTAATTCCTCTTTCCTGCATTTGCCCCATACAACTCTGTCCCAGTTTGGCATTTATTACCTTTTGCTAAAATCCCTCCCTTCTTTATCAGACTGTCAGTCCATCTATATGCTACAGTCTGACATGTAGTAGGTGCTTAATAAATGTTTGTTGAGGGGGCCTTCCTGGTGGTGCAAGGGCTTAGGATGCAGCACTATGAAGCTATCTGCAGCCACTGCAGCACAAGTTCGATTCCCAGCTGGCCAGGGGGCTGACCTACATGGTGCAGCAGACCTCTCCTGTCTTGCCTGCTGCTACCCTCAGCAGTGTATTTCATTCAATCCACATGTTCTGTTCCCCACTCTGTCTCTGGTAAATCCTCTCACCAGCCTCCCCCACCTCTGGCCAGTACCCCAGTTCTTATAAGCATAAATAAATAAATCTTTTAAAAAATAAATGTTTGTTGAGTAAATAAATGCATATAATGCAAGGCATGTATCATAATGACCATTTATTGAATTCTGTGGCATCCATGTAGCAACACATGACATATTGTGTAGATTTAGAATGTTAACTGGATGACAGCTTTCATTCTGTAATGTTGGCATAATATAAACCAGATTTACAGAATTTAAGAACTTAAAAGTTGTTCAGTAGAGATCATCCAGATCAATACCCATTGTGCAAATGAAGTAATCAAGACCCAGAGTTTTTATGTCACTTATACTATATGGCAAGGCTGATGAGGGGCAGATTCTCTTACCTAATACACTTCCCTTCCTCATCTCTGGGCTTATTTCTCACCCTGACCACTGCACTCTTCACCCTCCTGGCCCCCAAATCTCTCTCAAACTTCTTTTACCTCTCCCTCCAGCCCTAGCCATCCACTTATTTTAATCCAATTGTTTGTGTCCATCTCTGCAATAAGAATCTTTTAGTGGTGAACTTAAGGAAGTATATATAAATTTGATTTATAATGATGCACACCTGAAACTAATATAATGTTATAATTTAATGCCTCTTCAATAAAAATTATTTTCAAACAAAGAACATATATCTCAGCTGCTAAAGTGCAGCAACCCTTATCTGACGTGTTCTGGTTATTTAACGTGCTACCTGGCACATT